TAACAGAGACCTGATAGAAAGCTTTCTCATTTAAAACTGTTCTTCCATCAAAAAACATCAAACACGGATAATTTTGTCAAGTTATTACTGACTGAAAAAATCTATTAGAAAAATCCTGTTGCTGCAATGTTGTACATGATGACCACTTTGATGACAGTGAGTCACTTCTTTAGTTCATAACTCATAAAGGTGACATTTCTGTTTTATAAGAAGGTACAGGATTGCAGGAAGTCCCTTGTAATTATTAGCCACGGTGAAAGGCAAATTTGTCAGTTGTTCGGCTGCTCACTGAAACTAACTATGATACACTGCCATGAAATTCTGTGCAGGCAGTCGTTTTAACCTGGAGAATGTAAAATGGAAATCACTTTGATGACCCTGAAAAACAGCATCACAGTTATACCCGTTTTCTACATTCTCCTCTGCTTATCCACTTCAGGGTCATGGGGGCGGGGCTAGAGCCTAGCCCATCTGTCATACGGTGAGAGGCAGGGACAGACAATCAGTGTGTTAATTGGGTAATCACCAATTAACCAAACGCTGCTCAGGTCTCTGGACGCACAGAAACAAAAACTGCACACAGAAATGTTTAGTGTAGCCTCGCAAAGCTGCTCAAAAACTATTCTTTTGTTTTATTTATTTTTTTTCCTCACATTCCTCAAGAAGTTTAGTCTTTTGGATTTCGACTCTTTGACATGCACCACTAGATATATTTACCCCACATTCTACCCACACAGATTTATTGTGCTTCTGAGACATTTTGACACTGATGGGCATAAAAGCTGAAACTTTGTGTTTCTCAGGACTCCTTTTCTTCATGGTGACACCTTGCACTATGCCTACGTCTTTTTCTTGAGTTCGTTGCATGAATTTGATTTTCAGTGGTTATTGTATGACTGAAAAGTTTGATGTAAAGAGCAACAAGACCTTACCTCATGATTAAAGTACTGTACAATATCTCTGTGCAAACCGAAGAGACTGTTATATTTTTCACGTAAACTTCGGTGCATTCCCACATCTGTTCAGAATCACAAGAAGAGTTTGTTTTGTGACTGATGGAGAGGAAAATGATTGCCAAACTGTGTGCAGAAGGCTTTGGGAATATTTCCGCCAATAGTTTAAAGTAATCCTTATGTAAATAGCATGCTTTACTGAAAATATAGAATGAGGCAATTCCCCACAGCCGGGTTCTCAGTAATCCTCATCCTCATTGTCTTCAGCTTAATGTCGATTTCATGTCTGGCAGTGGCATTAGCTCTCTTGCTCAAAATATTCATTTGCCTTTTATCTTCTCATAGAAGTTAGTTTTATAGTCAAAAACAGCGTTTTAGGAGCTCTGCAAACATGCGTAGTCCTGAATTTTACAAAATTAATTACCTTTTTTTAATCTTATCGCTACATGGCAAATACTGCATACATGAAGTACATTTTGAAAGAGTCATATAATGAAGTAGAATTTAGTAGTGACAGGGTTTGTTTGGAGACCCGTTTTCTTTTTTAAATTCATTTGAGGTTATAGTGAATAATTTATCCACTGCCTTTGCAGAGTATACATTATGAGAGTCTCTGAAGCACTGGAGCAATGCCAGAAGAGAAGACTTTCAGCGACGGTAGTGACTGTAGAGTATCTGATGTTTAAAGGTAGAGAAATGAGACACAGCTAGAGGTCATTCATGTCCTTCTATTTTTAAGAAGCCATTGTGTTAGCCCAGAGAAAGGCAGCCGATTACAGTGTGTGGTCAGGTTTCAGAACTCAGCAGTAAAGTTGTCCCTCGTATAGCACAGAGAATAAAACATGTGTTGTGGTGTAGTGCCTCCCCCCCCATCCCCCCAACACTCTCCCCCGCACAATAGTTCCCCAGCCATATCACATGTCCCCACACAAGTCTCCCGCTGGGTTGTGAGACGTTGTTTTTCTACCGCCAGTCTGGCACAATGACAGATAAGAATGCATGAATTATATGATTCATTTCTGGGGTTTCAGCAGGTGGTGCGACTTTGCGTTTGTTTGGCGGTTCAGTTCTCGTATCATCCGTCTGCCTCTCAAAAGATTAATAGAGTCACGGGGAAGGAAGAGGGAACCTTCGCCGTGGCTCTTAAGTGGCCTTGTTCTTTGAGCCAGTAAATAAACGATGGGAGATGGTTGTACCAGACATGAAGCGGGAGGGAAATGAGAGGCTAAAGCTGTTGATCATCTTTCTCTCTTGCTCTCTCTCTCTCGCACGCACGCTCTCACTCTCATATACGTAATGACCCGGAGATAAAGTGGCAAAATAGAACACTTTTTGCCCACCGGTGAAAAATGCAGAGGGAACGTTTTTAAAATTCTGCTCCACGGCTGAGAAATTGGAACAGCTAAACGTTGATGGAGAAATATAGTTTTGTCTTTCTCTTTAACTGTACCTTCAAACACAGGACTACCTTAACAAATCGCTTCGCACTTAAGAATATAAAAATAAAGATTAGTGTTTGACAAGTTCTACCTGCAGGCTCAGCAGTCGTGATGAATAATGGCAGAGGATGAGGATATCTGATGCTCTAAATTATGTATGAATATTGCATGTTTGTGATTTACAAAGCAGAAATACACAAGAAAATACCTTTTTTTTTAGGGGAAAACAGGGAATGAGGTGCTAGAGGTGCTGGACCTATTGACCAGAAGCAAATCCATTTACCAGCAGGGAAAATCTGAGTTGGGGAAAGTAAATGAGTAATGCTCCCCCATGCCAGACTAACTACCACAGAGGTGCCCTAAAGTGAAGCATTTAACCCCCCATCCCCACCCAACACTATAACCACCACTGCCGCTCCCATTTGCTCCAGTAACATTACAGTTTGACCAGCGGTAGAGGGTGAACAACATAAATTATAAATCTGCCACCACATGTGAACATCTGGTGGCAGATTTATGTTTCCAACACATCGTTGTGTCGGAAACGTAGACACAGTGTGTTCAAAAGGTCCCTTTTCTTCTTTTTGAACCAAACGTATACACACATTGTTGCCCGCAGACTTTAAATGAGCAAAAGCCTCCGCTTTGGACTCGTCACTGCCTAGCACTGTATGCGTTCTGTATTCCAACTGCATTTTTCCTTTCACATCTCGAGTACTTACGGCTTCACCTTATAAAAAATCGCCGTGGCGATTCTGTTGTGTTGTAGAACTGCTTTTCTTTTTCAAAACCCTTCTTTTTTTTTTTCCGTTCGTGACAGTTTGCCTCGAGCGTTGAATTTTGTTGTTCTGAATTCCTATAAAGTGCCTCTTGACACGTCACTTGCCTGGCTTTGCAACTTCTCACATCAAGAGGATGTCTGTAACTGAGCTGAAGAGCTCATTCCAACACAATTCTTGTTGATATATTATCTTTCATCACAAGTATTACTACAGACATTTATCACGCTGGCGAACGCAAGACTTCAGCATGACACTGACAAAAGGCTCTTTTTCAGAAGCAACAGCACTTGCTGGAATAATCGCGCTTGGATCGCACCCTCTTCAAATACAATTTAGGGGAAATTCCAAATTCAGCAAGGTCAGATGACAATACTGTGAATATTTCACTCGTGAATCTCATTTGATAGCCTCACTGCTGGGTGGATTTTTCACTTCATTTACCGAGTTGACTTTACCGATAATTTAACTGTGAATGTTGTTGGCTAGAGAAGACGCTGTGTGTTTACACTTTATTCCCACAGTTTTCTGTAATGGCCTCACAAATTGAAATGCCCTTACAGCTATACGTAGTGTGTTCAGTTGTGTCTTGTCATAACATCACCTATTTTTATATTGCGCATTAAATGCATGTAAAAAATGTATATTTGCATTCTTGTGGAATATAAATGCTGCGATACGAGTGGAAGACGCTGCAAAATCTTAACAAGAAGCCCTCAACCGACTGATTTATGGGTCCTTAAAAGCAGTAAACGGACACAGAGAGTGGCTCTGTTAGGTGGCGTTTTCATGAGTAACGACCACTGACGTGTGTGTGTTCTTAACAATCAGTAAGTCATACCTCTTAGCTCACGCCTCTGGCGAGGGGATGACAGTTGTTAGCAGTGCTGATGCGGTGGATGCTTGTTGACACCGGCTGGCATTGTTTGTTTACTCAGCTCTTTCTGTGTTTGTTTGCCCTCACAGCCTGGCATCAGTCATCCGGGGTCAGGTCCTGACGGGAGATGGGACACCGCTGATTGGAGTCAACGTGTCTTTTCTGCACTACCCAGAGTACGGCTATACTATCACGCGGCAAGATGGCATGTAAGTTAGTTTCCTGTGTTCACGTGCATCATTTGGGGCATGCAACGCAAAACGCAGTCATCTTTACACAACGATCAACAAGTGTAGACACCGAGCCAGCTCAGTCTTGGGTTTTAACCTTTGCTCTGGCGAAAATATATTTGTAGCATGTCCTGCTGTCCCCAGACTCGTGTGGAAAAATCCAAGAAAAAAAGGCTGTCCAGCAGAGGAAGAATTGTCCTGGCAGTTATCCAAAATGTGCTCCAAACAAATGGAAACAGCAGCACATTGTGCCCTAGAACAATTCCTCATGCAAATGTCACAGTGGTGGAGGCCATTTTGAACCAGGCTGTTTAAAATGCATTGAATCAGCAAGGGTAGAATCAATCTGCCCGCAGTGTAGTAAAACATGGGATTACTGCCTGACCTTCTCCTGCTATTACCACAGACCGGCTATTAATAATGGGAGCGCAAATACATACAAGGCAAACGTATGTCACACGTTTTACAGCGAGCGTTCGGCTCAGGTAGGAGCTTCGTTTCACACACAGAGATTATGAACCGAGCCTTCGTTCGAATTCAACAGATAGAAGCCATGTTTATGTGCTGCCAATGTGGAATAAAAGGCTTATTGAGTGGCAGAGAATTGTACAGCTGTTGTTATGAATCACAATCCTTGGGTCCCCAGATAGCCGAGGATTAGCTGATTTCTTCAGATATTCCGCCCTGTAACTCTTCTGACAAGGAGCGTGATAAATGGTCGGGGATAATCACACTTGGTTAGCCAACAGATCCGCTCAGTGTGTTAAGAAGGGGGGGGGGCAGCATCAAAGCCTGGCCTCTTGCAGCTGTGAGCTCCCCACTGCCCAAAGTGGAAAGAGCTTGAGAAGGAAGCTGTTTTAGGTCAGCTGCACAGCTTGGTTGTCGCTGCGTGTGCGTGTGCACGGGTCCGGGTGCGTACATGAGATGTGCAAGTATTCAAATCTCCGCGTGTGTGTGTGTGTGTGTGTGTCTTTGTGGATGTGGATACATACAATGTCACTACGCAGATGCTTTACCCCCTGGGTAGTGGAGCACGCTGAATATATAGAGCAGCACTTCAAAGACTCGCCCTTCATTTCCAAACCAGTAACTTTTCCCTGAGTAATGTTGTACTAATTAAACCAGTTCACCAGTGAAAACTCCCAGAACTCTGAACCAAATTCAACCATAAAGTGTCTTCTAACGCCACGCTGAGTGAACAGAAGTCATAAATTAGATTCAGTGAATAATAATATTATATGGAGACTGAACAGAGGGATCACTTTGATAGGGAAAACTGCCTTTGATAAAGGGATTATCAGCCTTAACATAAATATTTACTTTGCTACTTTGAACTTGAGGAGACATTTCAAAATGATATCAGTCTAAGTTTTTGCCATCATTAGTCATGAATAAAAAAACAAATCCAAGGCGATGGTGGTGATTAAATCTGGAAATGTGCTAACACTGCTAATGAAAGGTCAGTTACTTTGTTAAAATAACTGATTATTGCAAATATTCTTTTGGCTTTACATAAAAAATAAAGGTGTTTGGAT